AAATAAATAAATAAATAAATAAATAAATAAATCAGGTGCCTGATGCCTTACCCTAAAATGTACAAGGTTACCTCATAAACAGTAAATGGATATAATAGAATAATGCTGCACTAGGCCAAAGTATAAAATTGATAAAGATCATCTCTCTCAAATGCTAATAAAATATTTTGCATATGCTCTTATAGTTATATATTGATATGTTAATTAAACCCTGTAAAACTTACTAGCCTAAGTTTTATTATTACTGCTCACAACTGCATGTATTATTATTACTGCTCACAACTGCATGGGTTGACTGGATGACATATATAACATGCAGATGAAGGAATAAAGTAACTGCATACAGTTTGTAAGATTTTTTTCTTCTATGACCAAGCCAACTCTCTCTCTAGTGATAAAAAGCATAGAAAACATTTTTAAAATGAAAACACTATTGAAAAGGATCAGTAAATGGCATGTATACTGCCATTGTAATCTGCCTTTGCTATTTAAAAGAAGCTGAACCTAAGGGAACACCCCATTTGAGTACCTATAATTTTAATCTATGTTAACTTTCTTTGTTATTCAATCTAAATTTTTGACATTACTTCAATCTCTACTCCCCTTGTGCAGATCAAGTAAAGATACTCTGGAACTCATCTTTTGCTTTCTCTTATCCTATCTACAATAAATATATCTGATCAAGAGTTTGGTTTACATTGAATATATAACACTTTATTTTCAAATACATTTAAATTATCATTGTTTCTTTCCACATATTAAAAATAGATAACTGTTCACTTGTATTGTGCCAAAATACAGGCAAAAATAAAATAGTAATTGTTAAAATTAAATATTAAACATTTGATTTAATATATAATAATATATAAGACTACATACTCAGAAGGATTATTCTGCTAAAAAACAATTAGAACCCAAGTAAACTGATAGGAAAACAGATAACATGAGCTATGAACAGTTAAAACATGCAAAAGGTGTGCTGTTAGGATAATAAATGACAAAATCAGAAATACAATCCTGAGAGCTAACTTTTTGCCACCCATAAAGTGTAAATTTATAATTTCAGGAGTATTTACAGATATAAAAGGTATTCACATAAACAAGTGTAAGGCACAAAGAGCTATCAATAATTATCCATTTTTTAAAAAAATAAATGTAGCCTTTAGAAGAAAAATTATATATAAAAACACAAAAGATGGATTAAAAAGTTTCAACATACACAAAGAGAACTGGAAGATAAGAAAAAATTTCTCATGCTAAAGCAAAGGGAAACAACAATATTAAAGATCTGAAACAGAGCCTAAGAAATATAGAAGATAGAATCAGATGATACAGTATACATCTAAATGCATCTCCAAAAAGAATGACTATTTTTAAATGGAGAAGCAATATATGCTGAAACAAAGAGTAAGAATTGTAAGAAATGACAACAGAAAGTTTGACATATTTCATGGGATAATTGATAAAAACATTATACTTATTATAGTAAAGCTACTGACAAAAAGATGATATTGTGAAATCAGTCAGAAAAGTATAATTCATAAATTTATATGAACCTCAACAAATATTGTAAATATAAAATAAATCACATCACAAAACATTTTTAGAAATTGAGACAGTTAAAGTAATAAGGAGTAATATACAGGGAAAAAATGAATGTTAGGAGCAGACTTTTATAGGAGAATTATGTTTGCCTTTCAAAACAAAGATTAGGATGAATATTTGTTTCTATACTTTGATCTAATAATTCACATTCTTGAATATCATTGGAAAGAAATTACCAAAAGTATGAATAAGGTATGAATATGTGTAAGAAAATGGCCTCACTGAATTATCTGAAAGAGCAAAACAATGAAAATAACCAAAGTGAGTAGATACTATCGGCATGTAAAATACATTACAAAATATCTAAATAATGAAGCATTATAAGAACGCTGAATCTAGTGTTTCTGAAAACTATTAATACCATAGAAAGGCTCCTGTTAACTGAAAAAGTAATGATACAAAAATATATTAAAAAGTAATGATACCAACTATATAAAATGATCCAAAATATGCAACATTACCATTTTTACTTGAAGGAGTACATGAAACATTATCCCCATTTCATTTATTTAAATAATACTTTGTGTATAAAAGTTTAAAAAGAACTAAAATTGGTTACTACAAAATAATAAATGTTCATCTGGTTGATAGTAGTTTATATGCCCCAAACCAGGTAGCGTCAAAATGTGTAAAAATTTATGAAATTGATGCATCAATTTACTCACTGTTGATATTGACCAAAAATAGTATACATAGGTTCAAAAATAGTCTATATAGTATACATAGGATGAAAATTACATCCAAATCAAGATGTATTAAATACAGTGAGTCCCTGACTTACAAATGAGTTTCACTCCAAGACAATGTTCATAAGACATATTTGTTCATAAGTCCAACAAAGTGAGTCTTATACACCTTGGACAAAAATATACAAGGTAAAGCATAAAAAACTAAATGAGAGGTCTGTTAATTTCTGTGAAAGTTTGCAACTAAAACATTCTTAAATCAGAGACTTACTGTAATAACAAATGCTGACAAGACTGTGAGGAAGAAAGGAACTCTTCATTGTTGGTGGGACTGTAAACTGATACAACCATTATGAAATTCAGTATGGAGATATTCCTCAAACAACTAAATGTAGAAATACCATTTGACTCAGCTATTTCCCTTCTAAATATCTTCCCCTAAAGATGTAAGGACATCATATTACACTGATACTGACATACCCATGTTTATAGCAGCACAATTCACAATAGTTAAATCTTGGAAGCAGCTTATATTTCCATAAACAGATGAATGGATAAAGAAAATGTAGTACATACACACAATGGAGTATTGCTCTGCCATACAGAGAATAAACTTGAGTCATTTGTTGGAAAATAGGTGCACCTTGAGACCATACTGTTAAGTGTAACAAATCAGACATAAGGTTTAATATTGCATGGTTTCTTTTATATGAGAAACTAAAGTATAAATAAAGAGCAAAATAAAAGATAGACAATGAGTAGTAGGGAAAGAGATCTTCCTCAGATGGAAAGGACATCGAGAGATGGAAGGAGGGGAAAGAAGGGAGGGAGGGGAGGGAAAAGGGATGAAAAAAGGAATTAAGATGTGTAATGTGCATGTACCAATCCATGTGAGGGATGTAAACATTATGTACCGCAAATATGTACTAATAAAAAAATAAATTAGGATAAAAATCAAATTCTTAAGGCAAAGAAGCTTCAAAACAGAGGTAGAATGGAAAAAATAAAAAATAATCCTCCTACAAGTAACTCTGCTAAGGTGAGTGGTCAATGTTGATGCACACACAGAGCATAACAGATTAGGATTCCTTCCCTTTTGTTCATTCTCTGTATAGTACACTGTCTTGAGAGATAACCAAGGACAGATCACAGACACACATTTGTTCCATACCACATTGAAAGAAACTGAGTTTGGAGCAATTCAACCCTGATGTTTCTTTCAGGATATGGCCATGATAATGGCACTGTATCTGTGGATGTCACATAATAAGCAATCACAGTATCTCAGTGGTACAGGACAAGAAGCGTTTATCTAGCTTGTGCATTTGTGGAGGTCAGCTGATATAGGCCACTTACAACAGCACTGATTCTCCTATATTTTGCTGGGTAGCTGACACATACTCGTTTCAGGTCCACAGGAGGAGCACAAGAGAGCAAATCTAAACGTGCAAGCACATAACAAGACTTGTTCTGTCAGATTTCTTATCATTGACCAAAATAAAAGACATGAAAAATTCTGTAATAGTGATCAGGGAATTAGTGTCCTTCCTTGAAAATAAAGAAAAAGAATAAAGATTTCTGAAAAGCAATTCCACAGCACAAATCAATTCAGTGCATATTCAATTAGCATAATTTAATTTTATGGTTACAACTGAGGGTGAAGGATGCTGAGAAATATAGATGTCTGACTATATATATAGCTGTATCATGAAAAACATAGGAAAAAAGAAAATAAGTATCAGTAAAACAACTAGCAATTTTTACCAAGAAACTCCCAAGAAATTTTAAGAACTAGTTTCATACAGACCACATGCTCTATGATTTTTCCAAATATAAGTATAGTATATAATAACCAAATAAAATGTAACCTAAAACCTATGCATATGTATATTTGAAAATACTTCTAATTGAATAAGGATAAAAAACAAGTCATAATGGAAATATTAAAATATTTCAAACTACATAAAAAGTTAAATGCTGTGTATCAACAAGTGTAAGATGTACCTAAGAGTATTTACAGGGAAATTTACAATACTACTTAGTATTGTACAGAGGTCAAAAATTAATTAGGTGCATATCCAACATAAGAAGTGAGAAAAATAAATAAATAAACCTAAAGACTATAGAAAGAAAGAAAAAAAAGACTATAGAAAGAAGAAAATAATAAAAAATAAAGCAGCAAAGTAATGAAAGAAAAAACTAAAAATAATAATCATAAAACTTAAAAGTTAGATTTTAGAAATACCAATAAAAGTTACTTATTTCCAGGAAGAAAGATAAGAAATAAAGAAGAAAGGTTTATTGAAAAGGATGGAGAAAAATAGAATTTAAAAATTTGAAAAGAATATAATCATGGGTCCATTAGAGATTCAAAAGATAAAAATCTGATAAATACCTTAAATTGCTAAATTTAAAACTGAGACAAAGTGGATACATTACTTTATAACTCACAAAAAAATGATTCAAAAACAACCTGTATAGTTTTATTATAATTAAA